TCCCAATGGAAGGCTGTGCGGGGGATTGGGGGTGGGATTGTGTCAGGATACGTCTGAACATTGGAGGGGAGCAGCCGGAGTTCCCCATTCAGCTAAAGAACTGACTACGCTGTGCTCTCCTGTCAGTTTTTAATAGGAAAGCAGAGGGACTGGAAGGAACACCAGGGATTTCACACAAAAGAAAGCAATACAAAGAAAACAGGATACTTTTTCATAGAAGTGGTACAGCAAGGTTACATTACACCTATGATGTAAACATCTTAGCTTTTCTTTACATAAAGTTTAAGTGCCACATTCCATCCACAGGTGAAGGGTTTCAGCAATTATACAGCAGCATCCTGAAATGACAATGGACAGCAATCTGTGTAGTGGCCAGCAGAGGGAGCCATACCAAAATTGGTGCACACCCATTTCTCTGGCAATGCAATGAGAGTGATGAAGAGTGCAGAAATTCTTCATTTTGCAGTAGATCACCTAAGGTGACCCCTGTATTTCTAGCATAAAAGACTTCTTTTAAATAGCTGAAATTTTAGACTGATGTTTACACCATGTTTTTAAATTGTGTGTCCAGACAATACTTTTTTTGGAGCAGGCTTAGAACCCCTGTTGGGTTTTTACTGCTATCCATGACTCTGTTAGAGAGATTTCTTCTCACTTTCTTTACACTAGCCAGTGACAATGCTTTCACTAGACAGGAAGTGAGGAGAAGATCCACAACTGCAATCCGCACAGAAATAAAAACAGTACCATTTTCTTTAGATTTACAAAATTGTGCTTTATGAGAATAAACCTCAAGAATCCACTCAATTAGTATTACGTCAGGCAGGCCTTGTACTACATAGTTGATGGTAGATCCAAAGGAGCTTGTACAATCAGATTGTAAAGTGTATGGTCAGTCAGTACAGTTTCCAGTAGTCTCCAATAAGCATGGATGGCCCTGTACATTACTGGACAAGGCAGGTCCAAGTTAACACAGCAGGTTCGATTGCCTTATATGCCCAGGTAGGGCAGCAAAGTGGCTTAATGGGTAGTACTTGCAGCACTGGAGTCCCTTGTTTGAATTCTGGCCAGGACACCTTGAGTTTGCATTGAGTTTGCATGTTCTTCCTTTATGTGGGTTACCTCCCGCACTTCAAAGACCGGCTGGTAGGTTTCGTTGGCTCCCATCCATATAGGGCCTAATATGTGGGTACAAATTGGCTATGCATGTGTTACTGCATTCTGGTCCCAAGCCAATTGGGGAGAATTGAATACAAACCTGATGACGTACCCAATAGGAAATTCTATAGAAAAGGCTTTTAGGCCGCATGCACACTGGTTGGTTTTTACACTGCTGTTAGGGTAACAATTAAGGGAGTTTAGAGGCAGAAAAAAAAATTAAAACCCCAGACGCACCTATGTGTCTATGCAAAAAAAATAGGCATTTAAAGTGATAGTAAAGTCTTGTTTTTTAAATAACAAAACATTATACTCACCTGCTGTGTGCAGTGGTTTTGCACAGAGTAGCCCAGGTCCTCCTGTTATCGGGTCCCCCGCCAGCACTCCTCCCTCCTGTCAGGTGCTCCCATAGCAAGCAGCTTTCTATGGGGGCAACCGAGCAGGCACGCTCCTAAGCCATGGTTCTGCCCCACTCTCTTCCTCTTCTGATTGACAGCAGTGGGAGCCAATCAGGAGTGAGAGTCCCTGAAGAATCGAGGTTCTTGTGAACATCGCTGGATTGGGACTCAGATAAGTCATAGGGGAAGGCTGCTACACAGACGTTTTTTACCTTCATGCATAGAATGCATGAAGGTAGAAATCGTTGAGCCTTTAGAACCACTTTAAAAAGGCAGAAAAAAAACTCCACAGCCAGGGTGTCCAGGAGCATCAGCGTTTTGGCAGAAATAAAAATGCTTGAAGCCGCTAAACTCATGTTAATGCTAGGTGCATTTAGCTTTTGGGTATTAAATCCTTTCAATGGCCAGAATAATTAATTATATGACCAATAAAATTAATTAATGCCCAAGCACTCGATGGGCCTAAAACCTGTTTACAAGCGTCAAGATTTTTTTCTACCTAAACAATGCTGCCAGGAGGAAAAGCATCTACAAGAGATGACAAAACTTCCAGTGAGCATGAGGCCTGAAGTCTGTCAGATATGGCCCTCAGATTAACCCTGAGTCGGAAATGATTGATCAATACATACATATACCTAGGTCAGATCATTTATATATACACTGCAACCAAGTATACTTTTTTGTAACCTTCAGCTGGACTTTCCATAAAAGACACAACACAGCAAAAATGTCATCAACAAGCTTTTACTGTATTTTTTATAATAAAAATAAAACCTGTTTCTGCAGATTTGAAGTATCAGGTGCCTATTACAACCATTATTTACAGTATAACTCCAGTTATTTAGTACATTGTACACACTGACACAATGCAAGTCTGAGGTAATCACATTACATCGTCATATGATGCTCAAAAACAATCCACCTTCCTTATTTGCCCTATTTATGACTTACGGCCCAATTCTTTCTGGGGACATCTTGTTGCGAAATATATACTGCAGGGGACAGCTCTGGATTGAAGAGGAGTAGTGCAGCCTTAGGTGATTTTTTTTTTTTTTTTACATTTTTATTTATACCCTGCCTGGGTCCATTTGAATGGAAAACAAATCATTAAAAAATGCCCACAGTTGATTAAAGCAGAGTTCCACCAAAAAAATAAATAAATAAAAGTTAGCAGCTACAAAAACTGTAGCTGCTTTTAAAATACAGTCACTGACCTGTCCCTCGGTCCTGTGGCATCTTCAATACCGCTGGTTTCACCAGCCGTCTTCTCTCCATGGTGCCGGCATCTTCAGTGTGGGATCCGGCTGTGACAGCTTGCGGCTTCACAGCCAGGTGCCCACTACGCATGCGCGAGAAAGCGCTGCGCTTTGTGAATGGCCCCGTAGTCTTCTGGGACCTGTCATGTGTCCCAGAAGACTATCCACTTCTGCTGCGATCGCCTAGGTGATCACAGCAGAAGTGGGAGCCGGTACCTGTCAAATTCAGGTACCCGCTCCCCAAAGGTGCCAATTCTTGTGGAGTGGGGGACAAAGGCTTATAGCGGAACTTCCCCTTTTGGGTGGAACTCTGCTTTAAGATGAAATTAATCTGGGTTTGCTGTAATCACAGTAGAGGCAGAATATAATAAATCACAATTCCCTATACTTGCATCACCTTCAATTACAATGGCCCAAGGGAAGGACTCTTCTTGAGGGAGGTTTCAATGCGTTTTCCAGGCACCTATGAGATGTGTCCATTTCCCCCAGCTTCTTCTGGTACTCCTTCCTTGTTCATCTGAAAGCTAAATCCATCCCAAACTGACATTTTAGTTTTGTGTGGATGTCAGCATGGTATAGCACCCTGGCTGCTTCTACCAGGATCTCACAGTTGGTTACAAATGTTCCTGGTCAGAACCTCTCCCACGAGGGGGTCAATGGATGACTTTAGGTGGGAAAACTTTGATGACCAGAACATTTTGTGAAATTGTAGAAATATGGGTAGTGTAAAAGAACTTGTTTTATACTGAAGATACAGAAAAACTATTAGGCCTCTATAATCTAACTCCAGTTGAGTTTTGAAAATTGGATGTGTATCTTCTGCATAATTTTGTTTTTCCTACTGTTAATAGGAGGATTGAGGTAAATGCCAATTGTAAAATGTGGGGCTTATTTAATCCCACTGGACCCAGCCATCCAAGGCTGGTAGGAAGGGCTCTCAATCTTTCTGCACTGTGATTGGCTGCACAGTGCTGACATCATCAAAAACCTATCCCTCCGGCTCTTGATCATCCACATGTGACTGGGAGCCATCGGCAACTGCTTAGTCACAGTCCTAGGGGAGCCGATGGAACATGCTCCAAAACTAAACAAGGAGCCATATATGCAGATGCTGGGTGTTACGGCCCAGCCACCCCATATATAGGTGTAGTGGTTGTAAACAAGTTAATAAAACCAGAATGCAAGGAGTAGTGTAGTAGCCTACAGACAGCAGAGACCCGATTAAGAGTCGATTGCTATAGGGTACTAAACACCAAATACTTAAAGGGGAACTTTAGGTAATAAATAAAAAAAGGCGGACTGGCATGTTTTTTAATGCAGAAGAGACATGCATTAAAGCTACCTATCTGCCTGTCCACCTCTGTACAGTGAGCCGCACAGACGCAGCTCACTATACCAATTCAGCAATGCCGAATTTGACTAAACTCCCAAGCATGCGTGGGAGTGACATCATCCCTGTCGCCATCCCAACGACAGCAGCCAGCGTTCGGGACTCTGAAGCCAGCGTTCGGGACTCTGAAGCCAGCCACCCAAAGATGTCAGCAGCCAGGCAGGGAGCTCTGGGACAGCTCATCGCAGGATCGGAGGGGAGTACAGTTCCTCTTTAAGGGTATATGTTACTAAATAAACTCATAAAATCTGCTCGTCATGTTTTGTTAATGTGAACACATAAAAAGGTATATAGAAGAAAGACAGAAGAGCAATGGCAGAAAGACCATCGAGTCTGCCCCTTTTTCATTTTTGTAAAACTATATGGCATCATGGCATGTGTACAGACCTGTCTGGCTGCACTGTCACAATTTGGGTGAGCGGCCCAGGGATGGGGGGCATTGACAATAAAACCGCTGTTTTATTGTCAATGCCCCCCAGTCTGAAAAAGCCCTTAATATCCACTTAATGCACCATGGGTTAAATCCTAGTGTGTAAAACAAAAACACAGTATTAGCAGCACTGATGGAGCTGTAGAAAAAGAAAGCACTGTCTAAGGACAGCATAGAAGTAAACAGGACTGAGACAAAGACCGTCACTGGTTATCAAGTACAAGTTCACAGTAGGTTACTTTACGAGACAATTACAACCCTATCAAGTCTCTCCTTCCAAATAATGCATACACATTAACAGTTCAAGCTCACTGGAGATCTATAGAACAATTAATGCCAAGATGGTAGGCGTGCAGGACCTGCAGATCTCAGTAGTCATTATACCAGTTGCAGCATCTCTGAAGCGCCAGCTCCCATTCAGCCACAGTTTTTTCATAGTCTTTAAGTTTACTTTGTGGTTCAAAAAGGATCTCGGGTTGTCTCAGTTTCTTCAGTTCCTCTTTGTTGGACCAAATACCTTAAAACAAAAAGGGACACATTGAGTAGTTACCCACCTCAGTGGACTACTGTTATCCTGGGTGGACACTGTATGACATTCTCCAGACGTGCACCAGTGGACACAGTAAAAGATAGTTTGTTGTACCAGGCCGGCCCTGGTACCATGTAATCGCTGTGATCAATCACGTCAATTGTACAAAATGGATTCCAGTCATAGCCTTTCATTGTGTAGGATTGTAATCGCGGTGACTGGGCACAACGATCACATTGTACAGACAGAGCCAATCACAAGGTATCTGTACCGTGTAGCCAATCACAGCTATCACAACTGCACATGAATGGATGCCATTCATGAAAATTACTGTTTATAACCGTGATCACTGTAATAAGCACTCAGTGTAAAATTAAAAAAAAAAAGGAGTATATGTATATCAATAAAAAAAAAACACAGCTCTATCGGTCTCAAAAAAAAAAGAAAAAAAAAAAAAGATAAAATGTTTTATGGATACAGTGTTGCATGAGTGAGTAAATGTCAAAGTGTGACAGCGTTGAAATCTGAAAATTGGCCTGGGCAGGAAGAGGGTGACAATGTGTGGTACTGAAGTGGTTGAACGAAGTCAGTTTTGTTCATCAATACCGTGGATTGATGATAAAAATGACTTTTCTGCTGACATACCAAGATCTGATGCATGATTCTAGTACTTTTATTTTAGCAGCGAGTCATATTTTGTGAAATACTCACCTACAGCTAGTCCGGCTAGAAATGCTGCTCCCAGGGAGGACATGTCTGTGTGTTTTGGTTTATCAATAACTTGGCCAATCAAATCTGCAGTCATCTGCATGACAAAACTGTTGTTGCTGACTCCTCCATCAGCCCTGCGGGAAGTGAAACAAATCAAGTCACTATGATATGAGAAGCAAAGCTAGGTACTACAGTCTTCATGTATGTCCCACAACCTGAACTTTTACATTGACCATACACTATACAAATTTTGATTGGCCTCTGTCGAATTGGTTGAAATATGCTCAGAGGTTGGCCGCATAACACCCAACATCCTTCAATTGAGGGGCAGAAAACGCTCAGCCAAACAGATTTGTCGCTGATCAGGTGTTTTGACAGCCAGCAGGGCCGATTGTGAAAATACAAGAGCTGCAACAGAAGTTCCATCCATCTGTGCTGTATAGCGTGGATGGAGGAATATGTTAGATTTTCTTCATTCAGCCTGTATGAAGACAGACACAGTTTATTGAGTAAATACAGATAGATAAAACAAAAATTTTAGGCTGCAACACAACAAAAATGTCATTATTTTAAAGGGGGGCGATTCTTTTCTATACTGTGTGAGAAAAAATAATGTATACATATTTATATATATATATACACATACATACATATACATACATACATACATATACATACATACATATACATACACTCACTCACGTGCATCTCAATAAATTAGAATATCAACAAAATGTTAATTTATTTCAATAATTCAATTCAAAAAGTTGTGTTCAAAATAATAGCAGTCAGAAATCACTAACCTGATCAATCACTGTTTTTGGTAGAAATGATATTTCTACATGGCAAATAATTTACTGGCAGGTGTAGTAGAGTAATAGAAATCCAACAGACCCAACAGTCGTGACATGCATGCTGCTGATTCTGTGTAATTGAATCACTAATTGAAAGGGGCATGTTCAAAATAATAGCAGTGTGGAGTTCTATTAGTGAGGTCATTCATTCTTTGAAAAACAGCTGGCAATCATTGCCCTTATTTAAGGAAGGAAGGCAGCAAATGTTGTACATGCTGGTTACAGTGCATTTCTCTCTGAAATTCTGAGGAAAACGGGTCGTTCCAGGCATTGTTCAGAAGAACAGCGTACCTTGATTAAAAAGTTGATTGGAGAGGGGAAAACATATAAAGAAGTGCAGAAAATGATAGGCTGCTCAGCTAAAATGATCGCAAATGCTTTAAAATGGCAACCAAAACCTAAAAGACGTGGAAGAAAGCAAAAAACTACCATCCGAATGGATAGAAGAATAGCCAAAATGGCAAGGACTCAGCCAACAATCAGCTCCAGGAAGATCAAAGAAGGTGTAAAGTTCCCTGTGAGTACTGTTACAATTAGAAGACGCCTATGTGAAGCCAAGTTATCTGCAAGAAGCCCCCGCAAAGTCCCACTGTTGAAAAAAAGACGTGCTGAAAAGGCTACAATTTGCCAAAGAGCACATTGACTGGCCTAAAGAGAAATGGAGCAACATTTTGTGGACTGATGAAAGTAAGATTGTTCTTTTTGGGTCTAGTGGCCGGAGACAGTTTGTCAGACGACCCCCAAACACTGAATTCAAGCCACAGTATACTGTGAAGACAGTGAAGCATGATTGCGCAATCATCATGATATGGGGATGTTTCTCATACTACGGTGTTGGGCCTATTTATCGCATACCAGGGATCATGGATCAGTTTGAATACATCAGAATACTTGAAGAGGTCATGCTGCCTTATGCTGAAGAGGAAATGCCCTTGAAATGGGTGTTCCAACAAGACAACGACCCCAAACACACCAATAAACGTGCAACATCTTGGTTCCAGACCAACAAGATTGACGCTATGGAGTGGCCAGCCCAATCCCCGGATCTTAATCCAATAGAAAACTTGTGGGGTGACATCAAAAATGCAGTTTCTGAGGCAAAACCAAGAGATAGAGAAGAAGAACTGTGGAATGTAGTCCAATCATCCTGGGCTGGAATACCTGTTCACAGGTGCCAGAAGTTGGTTGACTCCATGCAACACAGATGTACAGCAGTTCTCAGAAACAGTGCTTATACAACTAAATATTCATTAAGTGATTCAAAGGAAAGCAAAATCTTCAAACATTTTTCAGTTTATATAGTGAATGTTTGAGTTTGTAAAGAAGAATACAAACACTGCTATTTTTTTGAACAGTCTAATATTCACTTTTCTTCAATTTTGTTAGAGGAACAACACAAATTTGATATATTTTTCTTCATGTTTTGATTTGGAATAGAATGTGTAGTGTTCCCAATAAACTTGTGTGTATGGAAATAAAAGCTACTAGAAGGATTTGGAGCATTATTCACTTTTTTCAACACACTGCTATTATTTTGAACACAACTGTAGAATCATTACACACAGAGTGATATATTTCAAGCATTTTTCTTTTAATTTTGAGGATTATGGCTTACAGCTAGTGAAAACCTCAGCTCGTCTACACTGTTGGGTTTGGTGTCTCATCTTCCTCTTGACAATACCCCAAAGATTCTCTATGAGGTTTAGGTCAGGTGTGTTTGCTAGCCAATCAAGCACAGCGATACCATGATCATTAAACCAGGTATTAGTATTTTTAGCAGTGTGGGAAGGTGCCAGGTCCTGCTGGAAAATGAAATCCGCATCTCCATAAAGCCGGTCAGCAGAGGGAAGCATTAAGTGCTCTAGGATTTCCTAGTAGAGGGCTGCTCTGACTTTGGACTTGATAAAACACAGTGGAACAACACCAGCAGATGACATGGCTCCCCAAAACATCACTAACTGTGGAACCTTCACAATGGACCTCATGCAACTTGGATTCTGTGCCTCTCCACTCTTCCTGCAGACTCTGGGACCTTGATTTCCAAATGAAATGCAAAATTTACTTTCATCCAAAAATAGGACTTTGGACCACTGAGCAACAGTCCAGTCCTTTTGCTCCTTAGCCCAGGTAAGACAAGAAATGAGACAGTTGTAGTCCATGTCCTGGATACGTCTGTGTGCGGTGGCTCTGTAAGCACTGACACCAGCCGTAGTCCAGTCCTTGTGAATCTCAGGGCAACACAGTGGCTAAATGGTTAGCACTTCCACCTGGCAGTACTAGGGTCATTGGTTAGAATCCCAACCATGGCACCACCTGCCTGGAGTTTGCATGTTCTCCCCGTGCCAGCGTGGGTTTCCTTCGGGTACTCCGGTTTCCTCCTACACTCCAAAGACATGCCAATAGGTTAATTGGATACTGTCTAAATTGGCCTTAGTACGTGTATATATGAATGCGAGTTGGGGACCTTAGATTGTACACCCCTTGAGGGTTAGGGACTGATGTGAATGTACAATATGTATATGTAAAGTGCTGTGTAAATTGACAGCACTATATCAGTACGCTCGAAAGGGCAGGGCCCTTGAACCACTCGTATATTGTCTTGTTACTGTATTGTCTCATGTACTGTCCCCCACTATATTGTACAGCGCTGAGCAAACTTTTTTGGCGCTATATAAACACTGTATAATAATAATAATAATAATAATAAGTACCTGAAACAAATAAATCTCCCCTAAATTCTTGAATGGCCTGTGCTTCACAATCCTCTCATGGCTGCAGTTCTCCATTCCTTGTGCACCTTTTTCTATCAAACTTTATCCTTTCACTCAACTTTCCTTTAGTGTGCTTGGATACAGCACTCTGAACAGCCAGCTTCTTTAGCAATGACCTTTTGACTTACCATCCTTGTGGAGGGTGCCAATGACTGTCTTCTGGACAACTGTCAAGTCAGCAGTCTTCCCCATGATTGTGTAACTTACTGAACCAGACAGAGACCATTTAAAAGCTCAGGAAACCTTTACAGGTGTTTTGAGTTAAATATTTTGAGAGTGACACCATGAGTCTACAAAATTAGACTTTCACAATATTCTAATTTTCTGAGATACTGAATTTGGGGTTTTTCACTAGCTGTAAGCCATAATCATCAAAATTAAAAGAAAGAAATGCTTGGTATGTATCACTCTGTGTGATCAATCAATATAATACATTTTTAAATTGAATTACTGAAATAAGTTAACTTTTTGATGATATTCTAATTTATTGAGATGCACCTGTATATATAAATCTACTAAAGTTATATTCCATTTTTCACTTGTGCACACCTATATAGCCAAGAAACCGCTCTGGACGAAATTAACCCCTTGATGCCGAGCGCACGCAAATATGCAGCTTCTCGGTGTCTGGGCCTTGATGCCGAGTGGCCACATATTTGCATGCCATTAGAAAATACATATGTGCCGAGAACGCGTGCCCTGCGCGCTCCTAGCACATATGTCCGTGACTCACGGAAAGGTCCCAATCTCCCCTTGCGATCGGGACCTTTACCGATCATGTGACCACCGTAACGGCGAATCACGGCGGTCATATAACCCTAAAACCCAGCCCGCCACCCGGCCGGTAGGCACCAGCGTGAAGTGGTTAAAGAGCAATGCTGGGACCTCTCTGCATTTAGTGATGTATTTTGTTTACGGATACATATCAGCACAGGTCGGGGTCCGAAGAAGCCTCCATCAGGTGCTCCATTTTATTCATGTTTGAGCTCTTTTATTATTATTATACAGTATTTATAAAGCGCCAATGGTTCGCTCAGCGCTGTACATTACAAAGGGGGACAGAACATGTGACAGAACAATACCAATACAATGCAAAACATGAGGGGATCGAGGGCCCTGCTCTTTCTTATATGGCACAATAGTGGTGCTACAGCAGTCTGCAGACTTGAAATGTCACCTAAAATTAATGCAGCTTTGTATACATTAAATGTATTTTTACATATAAGCAGTGAACCTGAATTTGATTTGGTACCAGCCTCCTGCAATCCCCTCTATGGCAGAGCTCAGACTGGAAGGGGGAGAAGCAACACAATGAACTAGTCAGTTCTGCTGTGTTCATATAACAAGGCACATGCTGATAGGAGGAGAGCAGAATGACAGAGATGAGGTCATCAGTATGCTGCTTATCCCTCAATGTCCAGTCAAAATCTGGGCTAGGGATTTACACATGTGTGGTGTGAACTGAAGCTCTGTTTTCACAGCTAATTGACATTTTATCCAACCGTAACAATGAAAAATCAGGTCTCCTGTTCTGCCAGACAGGGCTGTTTTTTTGAGGCAGATCTGTGTAAATCTCAGGACTGGATTGACAGAAATATATATCCTTTTGCAGGTAAACCAGCTCCCATATACAGTATGTACTTATCTGGTTATTTAGAAGTTTAAGCTAAAAATTAAATACACATGCAGAATTATGTGGGACTTCTTGCTAGCCAAAATACTTTTTCCAGTATACTCCAAGCTCCTCAAGAGAACACAAGCTGACCAAATCTTGAATTTACCTGATCTTTGAGATTTTAATGGAAGTCTCCCTGCGCACTGTATCATACAGCTGCTTGTTCCTAAAAGGAGAATAAAAAAAAAAAAACACGGGAAATGTCAACTAAAGAAATATGTACACCATGAAATCAATGTTTTAAGTAACGTTTCTGTAGTGACAAAACGTATTAGTTGGAGGAAAATATAAGTAATTCCTGAACATTTTACAAACTTTCTAAACAGTTAATATTTCCCAGGGGCACCTTTATTTCATATCTATCTTAAAGACCAGAAAGACCATATTCATAATGATGGCTATGGTCTTGTACAAATGAATGATAAAGGTGTAATTCCAACATTGCCATGATACATGACAACTTATTTTCATCCTGGCATTGACTGTGTGCACTGATCCATCCTATTCTGTAAACACCAAGATCTTCTTAAAGCTGTATTAAACCCAAAACGTAATATATTGCAGCTTATCAATCATTAGATGTGCTGGCTGCATTAGCTTTCTTTTTTAGTCTTTTCCCCTCTACTTTCACCTGGTGATCTGACCGGTAACACACCTCCTGTATCACAGTGCCCCCACTCTTGCTGAAAGTGCAACAGGGACACTTTTGGATAGCAACACTGGGGGGACAGGGGAAGTGTTAGATGTACTAGCAGATTTAGATACACTAACAAACTGAAGCCAAACTCCAGATAACACTTTTTAAGCAGTTACAGCAACAGTTTATTGTACATCAAGGGACACAGAGCAGGCTATTCATGACCATGTGGGTTATATGCCACCTAGGTGAATGGACACTGGCTGACCAATCAGAGAGGAAGTCCTCCTCTATATAACCCCTCCTACACAAGAAGTACTTCAGTTTTTTCGCCAGTATCTGTAAGGTGGATGGTCACAAAGTGTTGCTTGTGCTCCAAGGAGCATACCTAAGGTCTGAAAGGGTTCCCTGGGGAAACATGGACTTTAAATTGGATCCATTCAGAAAGCTGCTTAGTCAAGATGGATGGTACACAAGCCTCGCTGGATAAAGAGAAGAGTCCTTGGGGTTTTGCCTTACAGCCTTACAGATCTGAACCTTCCGTAACTGAACCCTGTGCAGTAGAAACTGAGCAAGGCATTTTTCCAATAGAGTGCTACACAGGTCCAAGGCAGTGGCCCCATTTAATAGGGGACCGAGTCCTTGAGGGTCTATATGACAAAGCCCGCAGTAATGTGTGAAGGTTGGTACCTGACGGAAGTCAGGATCTGTGGTGGGACTGGTAAAGCGGCCTCTGTATTTTCCTAAAATCAGATTGTGGTTTTGGAGGGAAAGGAGAGGTATATTTCTGCAGCAATGGGCCATGATACCAATCAGGGGAGAGCTCGCTGTGAACCTGCCATTATGTCTGCCTGTGTTGTTGTTTGGAGGCCACTAGAGGGAGCAGAGTGCCTGGACGTGCAGCCAACCGTTGGACGCGGGGCAAGTGCACGGAGGGTGTGTGCACACAAGGATCACAGGCGCATGCACAGTAGCGGCCGAAAACAGAAGACGGCCATGTTTATTTATCCAGCATCATGGACACTTGTGGCTGGTCTGTTGCTGCTGTTGGATGCTGTGACTGGGACACAGAGCAGGCTATTTGGTGGGGGCATGTGAGTACTTCCCTTGGTGGCAACAGTAGGCCAGTCCAGGGAGCAGCAGCCATAGTGAGTTTTTTTTTTTTCTACCACACTACTTGCATAGCTGTATTTGTCCGTCTTGCTGTTCTTGGTACACAGGGTAGAAGCGCTTAGTGAAGTAATTTCTTCCAAAAAGCAGAGAGGGGAAGGCACAGCAGGAAGGGTCACTAATGCACCGCCGTCAGGTCCTGAGGAGCCTAGTCAAAGTTCTGCGGTTATATCCTCTCCTGAAAGTTCAGAGGCAACTAGGCAAATATGAGCTATTGCGCTTGTCTGGCATAGTGGCTACTACTGGTGCTTCTGCGTCAGCGTAGGTAACCAAGGATGATCTTGCTTCAGCCTTAGCAGGATTAGAGGACAAGATTGTAGGGATATTGCCTCTGTTTCACAAGGTGCTAAATGCGGGAGAGTCCCCCGTCACTAGAGCCACCAATCCTGGAGCAGGAGTGGGTGGAACCTGAGGATGAGGAACTGGAGGAAAGTCAGGCAGTAGAATCTCTAATCGGTGGGGTCACAGTCTGAAGAGAGAAGCAGGCAATTTCTGCATCTCAATCTTTGAGGTTATTGGTGTAAGACCTCACTGATATGGTATCAGGCTACCTCCAGTAGAAACCTCTCTGGGCTCTTTGAAACCCCCGCAGAATGTTCAGGCCTTTCCAGCACATCCTCTCCTGGAGAAGATTATGTATGCTTATTGGGATCACCCAGTAAGGGTTCTAGTTCTGCCAAAAAGATTTTCCTTTTTGTTTCCCATGGAAGAGAGGTTTGTTAAGAAATGGGGTATGCCTGTAGTAGATGCAGCTGTTTCGTCCCTAAATAAGTCTTTAACATGTCCTGTAGACAGGGGTGGACTGACAACTCATGGGGCCCCCGGGCAATAGGAAATCATGGGGCCCCTTTGTCCTTGCCCACACTCAAACCACACCCAAAAAAAGTTTATGAATAGGTACCAGGGGCATCTCAAGGGGCCCCCTACTGACCCAGGGCCCTTGGGCAGTGCCGGGTGCCCAAATGGTCAGTCCGCCCCTGCCTGTAGATAATGTCCAGGTCTTCAAGGATTCAACAGATAAGAAGCTGGAATCTCTCCTTAAAGTCTTTCTCCTTGGCAGGTTCTGCCACACAGCCTGCAATGGTAGCTGTTAGCATTTGCCAGAGTCTCTTACCGGGTCAAGTGGTTGCATGGAAGGTCTTTAGGGCAGGGGAATTATTTGGCCAAGGATCTGGACGATGTTCCGCGTGCTTTATGTTTTGCAGTTGATGCTCTTAAGGATGCAATTTGGCAAATTTCTCACATGGCCCTCTTGTCAGTACACATGTGCAGGGTTTTGTGGCTGAAGAGTTGGTCAGCGGAACTGCCATGCAAGAAGTTGTTGGCAGGTTTTCCCTTTCATGGGGAGAGACTGTTTGAGGAGGATCTGGACAAGTATATTCAGAAGATTTCTGGGGGAAAAAGTTCTTTAACCCTTTAAAAGGGGCAGGGGCCTCTGTTGCTGGGTTCTCTGCTACCAGACAGTCATTTTGCCATACGCAGACATCAGCCTCTAGGGGTAGGACTCAAGCATCAGAACCCAAAAGGAGGTCTTGGGTGCAAAAGTCAGCCAAAGCAGATCCAAAGTCCGCCTCCTTATGAAGGGAAACCCCCCACTCATTTGGGTGTGTGGGGGGAGGGGAGGGGAACTTTTGGAATTTAACAGCCTGGAAGGTTCCAATCCAAGACTAGTGGGTAGTTTCCACAATTTCACTAGGGTACAGACTGGAATTTTGGGTTCTTCCCCCAGTTTCTAAGGTCAAATGTACCAGCGATTGCAGGGAAAAGTAGAAGGCTTTTACTGGTGCTTGACCACCTATTCTCCCCAGGGGGTGGTCATGGAGGTTCCAGCGGACAAAAGAAGTCAAGGGTTTTATTCAAGCCTATTCACAGTCCCAAAGCCAAATGAGGATGTGAGGCCAATTTTGGACCTCAAGGGTCTAAACTGGCTTCTAAATGTCTGGTCTTTTCGTATGGAATCTGTTCAGTCAATAGTAGCCTCCTCTTTGCAGGAAGGAGACGTTTTAGCATCTATCAACATCAAGGATACTTACCTGCATGTGCTGATATTTCTCGTTTAAAGATTTCTGCATTTTGCAGTAGGGGCTCAGCATTTTCAGTTCATAGCACTTCCTTTGGTCTGGACACAGCTTCTCGAAAGGTCTCGCTCCGGTATTGGGGCGCTTAGAGCTCAGGGGATATTGATCTTCGGATATCTAGATGATCTCTTGCTCAGAGGTTAGTCTGTGCTAGGTCTGAAGCAGGCTATGGCTTTTAAGGTTCATATATTGAAAAGGACTGGACTGGGTGCTTAACCTCGAGAAGTCGGCCTTGGAGCCAGTACAGAGATGGTTCTAGACATCTATTTGGTATGGTATTTGGGGATGGTTCTAGACATGGTTCAGCCAAAAGGTATTTCTGCCTTCAGGGAATGCTGTGCCCTGAAAGAACAGGTCCGCAGTTTAAGGGCCAAAAGGTATCCTTCAGTTCTCCTCTGTGGAGGAGGGGTTGGAGCGGTTGCTACGTTAATTTATTTGTGCCCTATTTGACCACTCTATAATATGATGGTCAGATTTATCTGGTAAGCCTCCTTTGATCAGTAAGTGGTGCATTTGGATACACTGGATCATCCTAGTTATTGAAGACACATGATTGTTTTTAAGGACATTTTTTTGGCACTGGGATTCATTTAATCACTTCACAGTGGCTTTTCACATTTTCCTTTTTCCATTATTACGGTTTGAACTTTATAATATATTTGAAATTTAGCGCTGCACTTTTATATATATCACCATATAACATTTTAACATTTAGGGCCCATTATATTCACTGATCTGCTCCTAATCCATAAAACAATTCAATGCAATAGGACCCTCATCACAACAAGACCCTCATCACACTATTGAAGGGCACTGCTCTGAAGAAGAAGTCAGTATTTATTTTTACTAATAGGTGAACCTTAAAATCACAGCTTACAGTACCAGTGAGAATATCACATTCTGGAACTGGAGGGCACTGGCTCACATTACTCCACAGGGTCAAACGCAGATTACAATCCATAAATGCAATTATAAATGTAATGCAATTATATTTCTATGTTGGTCTAACGTGCAGGTAAAGAAACCAGCATGAGAGGGGATTTTGTACTTTCTAAATTTCTGTTTCAAGCACTATATTTAAACATGCATCCAAAGCCATAACTTTTTTTTCTGTTTTGGATAAAGAGGGTTAGAACCCCTGTAAAATGTCTTTGCTGTCTGTATCCCTACTAGGGAGATTCAACCTCTCTATTTGTCCTGGTGACCATGGTCCCTGGGCTGACAATGATCAACAAACCAAAATTTTGAGTTGTCACAAAAACAGGGATGGGGGGATCTTCCAATGAGGACACTGGTTCTGGTGACAAGTGTCTAAGAGAGGATTTCCCTAACTTTTATAGTAATTATATAATTTCCTGTTGTGCAATACAGAAGGGGAAATCACTTGAATGGGACTGCTCTATTTTCTATTTAAACATGAAGTTTAGGTTTTTTTTTTCTTCTAGAAATTATACTTACCTAGGTGGATGCAGCATTGGTCTGATGCTGCATCTGTCCTCTGCCGGCGATCAAAGACTGCCGATTGCTCAGTTCCCAGTGCTCTATGAGCAGAGAGCTGGTAACTGTCAGTCAACGCTCTCTGCTCTTCCCACCCCCCCAGCATTCACTGGAATGCTGGGCTGTGAAGGGGGCTGGAGTGGCTGAGCCAAGTGCTGGTCCAGACATCTGGGTGGATCCAGACTTTAAAGTCGGGATCTTTTTCCAGCCTGGACTGGCTTACTGTTGTCAGCTGACAGTGGACGTTAGCCCACTGTCAGCTAAAAATGGGTCACATGAGTGCTGAATGAACTGCACTCCTATGATCAACAGAAGTACAGCCAAACAAGCTTTGGTTGTACGTCTCCTTTAAAGTGAATGCCTTGAGATGCACTTTCACATTTCCTAAAATACCTCGACTCCTGGAGACGAAATCTTTGGTAATTTTGTCTGGTTTTTTTGCAGACAATTTTATAACTTGCTGCATCCTATATAAAAAAGAAATATTGACGTTTTGTCATATGGCTGGGCCTTCTCTCTAGACTTTATGGTGGATGCAAAATATAAAATGCTAGTAGAGTCAAGTTGTTACTACAACAGCACCACTTGTTAAACAAGAACGCCACATTTTATTATCCACTTTCCCTCCAGAGGAGTTACCCCCCCTTCCTGACCCGGCCATTTTTTGCGATACGGAGCTCTGTTACTTTAACTAACAATTGTGTGGTCATGCAATGCTGTACTTAAATGAAATTTATGGAATTTGTTTCCCATAAATAGAGCTATTTGATCATCTCTGCAGTTTTAATTTTTTACGCTAAAAAACGAAAAAAAGTCCGACACTTTTGCAAAAAAAGAAAGAAGCTATCAAAGCAAATTGTTTGGCTTTTTGCTCTAAAACAAACATCCAATAAAATCTTTTTTTAAAAATCAAATTTCGTCATAAATTTAGGCAAAAACGTATTCTGCTGCATTTCTTTGCTACAAAAAAATTCCTAATACATGTAAAATTAATTGGCTTATGTGAAAGTTATAGCGTGTACAAATGGATGTATATATACAATGGAATTTTTATTTTGTTTATACTAGTAATGGCGACGATCATCGACTTATAGCAGGACTGCGGTGGGCATTCTGACACTGGGTGGGAACTAACTGCCACTGACATCCCCAGTGACACCAATACAGTGATCAAAGCTAATAAAAAGCACTGACACTGTACTGATGACACTGGCAGGAAGGGGTTAACATCTGGGGCATGCACGCGCCCCCTACCCGGAAATGCAAATCACACACACACGCTTTTGCGCAGCCCTGCAGCAGTACTTCTACTATAGGGCTGGCGGGCAAAACATCATTATCACATTTCTCGATACAACTGACAACATCAAGGCAAGAGAACATATGTATGCCATAAGTAAGCAGCGCACTTACTTGCACTGAAACAAGCTTTTATCTTAGAACTTTTCTTGTGCACTGCATGCAGTCCCCAGCATGCATCACAGGCATAAGAATGGCTCTGAAAGTGGGGTGTGGTTGTCATCTTTACAACAGGGCTCATAACTAAAACACAAAAAAAAACTGCCAGGAACCTTTCTTTGCTTGTCTAAAAATGTATTTTTTTTGTCTGTGTCCCCATTGGAGATTTGTCACACCACTTTCTGTCCTAACAGGAAGGAGAAATTTTCCCCAAGAGAGACACAGACAGCATCATACAATATAACAGAGACTCTAACCTTTCCCCATTTTATCGAACACAGAATAGATTCTCCTAGAGTTGGGCTTTAAAGAACATGTCAACATTTCATATTTCTGATATGTGCCTGCTGTAACCATGTACTTGTATGAAAATGTATCCTGTTCTTTTTGTACTGCTTCCTTTGTGAGAAATCCCAGGTTTTCTTGCCAGTCCCTCTGCTTTCCTTTTAAAAACTGACCACACTAGACATGAGAGCACAGCATGGTCAGTTCTCTAGCTGTGCTGGGAACTCTCTCCATCAGGCTTGTGCCAACATGCCCGCCCCTGCCCCCCGCACAACCATTCACTGGGAAGATCAGTGTACTGCTGCTTTTCCACCCAGACCTCTCTATGCAACTGAGAACAGGATATGTGATCACTTCTAAAAAGGGGATAAAAAAAAAAAAGGTATATTGTTTTTAAATATATCTATACACAACATGTTTTACCTTTCATTTCTATTTTAAATTGTAAGGGTTGTTTTACAAGGTAAGGGTTTACAAATACTTTAAAAAGCAAAACCAAACCCCCAAATCTTTTACAGCCAAAAAAGCTGCCATCTTAGCCTCTGATCTACATTGTCCTTGGTGCTGCACGTGATCCAGCTATTTGAGAACTTAAAAGTTTGGTTGAGAGCTGACATAAGTACACTGGCAGTCTTGCCAGTTTTTGCCAGCGACGTGCCTTGAATGTAACTGGTTTTGGGAAACAGTTAAATTGTAGGGTTTAGTTCTGCTTTAACGTTGTCAATCTTTATAATATATCAGCATTTCAACTTTTTGTAGATTCATCTAATATTTTTTGCATTATAGGTTTGCTAAAACCCATGCACATACAATGACTTAGGCATGTCATGTATCCATACCTGAATGCCACTGATTCGAGAATAGCCCGGACAAGGTGGTTTTTGCTGGTAGAAGGCTTTAGTCCCATGAATGAAGCACATGCATAGGGATCGTTCACTGGAGCCTAGAACAGAAAGAGCTGAGTAAGGGAACACACTCCCTGCTCCTGCCTCTTACGTTATATAGTAATAGATGAACACTTACATACATGTACCGGCAGCAGGAAGGGAGAAAACAGACAAGTTACAAGCAAACACAAGCTATATGCATAATCTCTGTCTCCTAGAGTGAGATGTACATGCATATAATACAGATTTACAAATGCAACAAAGACAGATCTAAAAAGAAACAAAAGTATGACGTTTGTTACAGGAAAATTCTGTTACTTGTGCATTGACCCTTTCACCGAGACCTGAAAGAATTACCTCCTACAGTGTGGATGCAATGCAGCAAAGCCTGATTTCAGTTTCTGGTGGTACATGTGTGGGTGTTAGAAAGAATGTGCCACATTTCAGCTATTATTTCTGCACTGCAAGAACCATCCCACACAACAAACAGCTATGTCTAATAAATAAACCACAGTACAATGCAAGAAAGGTCACTATGTAGTTGGCTTCCCATGGAGCGGAGCTACAGTGCCACTGCTGATCAAGATTAAAAAGCAAACCTCTTACTGCTGGGATTACTGGACATGTATCCTACCTGTAAACCTGTAAATGAGGGTACAAAGTAAATTCCTCCAGAGTCTGGGACACTTCTAGCCATTTCCTCTGTGTCTGCTACATCTGTGTAGAGATCTGTAAAGGAAGGGAGAGAATTCTTCAAGGAGGTTCACACTTGTACCGGCCAGGAACTCTTTATCGGTGAACTGGATGGACTTTTGTCTTTTTTCAGCCAGACTATGTAACAAAATTGCACGTTCCTGACCTGCAGGCCAAACACACTGCTCTTTATTGCTGGTGTGCAATTAATTCTTATCGGCAAAATGCCCACTTGAAAACACATGGTGCTGCGGCATCATGCGGTTCTGCTCAGGCGTGATTTTCAAAAGAGTAATGGACTATTTTTCCCCAAGTTTCTGCTGGTAGGGCAGCCCACTGAAATTAATGGGTTGCCCTACACGCAGAACACAACCCACAGTGATGTGAAAAAAACAATAATCAGGGCAGATCACCACCTCAATAAAATTATACATAAAGTAATTGTGACAAAAAGATTATTAAATCAATATGTGAATATTCCAAAACAATTAAATACTTATTGTGTTACCCATAAAAAGTGTCCAAAAATATATGTAAAGTCCAAAATAAAAAAAATATATAAAATATTTACTCCCCAATGCCAGAAAAAATACTTCCACCATCCACCAGTGAAAAACAAACATCTACTGCACTCACCAGATGTTGGTGAGTGTTGCACCTTTTAGGATTATTTTGGGCTCCTAGACCCCCTTTAAGACCTCCAGGATTCCTTTCCACCACAAAGTATAAGATATTCCTCCACTCGCTCCTGCCTATTCCTCTCTCCAGCTCCACAGCAGTGCAGGGAAAAGAAATACCAATAGTGTAATACTGCTAATAAACTGTGTTATACCAAAAACCGTTTACCAGACCACTCCCATTTCTCATGATCATAAACAGCGTTGTATTGCTTTTGAGCTCCCACAGAATCACAGGTTCCACATTTGTTTAAAGCTGAGACCTCACAGCCTGATCAAACAGCAGGATGACAGGATACACCATTCAACAATGAACAAAGATTGTGGAAGTATTTTTTCTGGCATTGGGGAGTAAATAAACATCTGGTGAGTGCGGTAGATGTTGGTTTTTCACTGGTGGATGGTGGAAGTTTTTTCTGGCACTGGGGAGTAAAGATTTTATAAATTTTTTTATTTTGGACTTTACATATATTTTTGGACACTTTATTATGGGTAACACAATAAGTATTTAATTGTTTTGGAATATTCACATATTGATTTAATAATCTTTTTTGTCACAATTACTTTATGTATAATTTTATTGAGGTGGTGATCTGCGCTAATTGTTTTTTTCTGTTTTGGTTTGTTTGACCTGTGTGCAGCAGCAATTCACAACCTTGGTTCATCATTGTTTTGTAAGGGGTGATCCTGTGCGCTGGGGTTTTTATATTGATTTACATCCACAGTGATATGAACCTAGGCTAAGCTTTCTGTCCATGGCTAGAACATCAATCATATAGGAGAATCATGTACAAATGTTAGGAACTCCAGGACCACCACCTATGATGTAAATGTGTCGAAAGCAACTTAAGACCTAAAAAGGAGTTATTTACTAAAACTGGAGTGTGCAAAATCTGGTGCAGCTCTCCACAGAAACCAATCAGCTTCCAGGTTTTATTATCAGAGCGTAATCAAACAAGCTGAAGTTAGAAGCTGATTGGCTACCAAGCACAGCTGCACCAGATTATGAGTGTACCAGTTTTAGTAAATCCCTCACACAGTGTATGTAAACCCTAACAATACATAGCTCTTATTTGCTCTCTTTTGGCCTGTTAAATATGCCATTGAAAATGTTTTGTCACAATTCAATAACTGCAAAAATATACTAGTTGATCCTGCCGCAATCCAGTGCTGCCGTATGTCTTGTACATTTTGCTGTACTTGCTCTATGGGGGATATGATCAACATGTATAAATACATCAGTGGTTCATACAGTGAACTCGGTGTAGATCTATTCACCTTGAGGTCATCACAGAGGACAAGGGGGCACTCTTTACGTCTGGAGGAAAATAAATGTAATCTCCAAACATGGAAAGGTTTCTTCACAGAAGAGCTGTGAAAATGTGGAATAGACTCCCTCAAGAGTTGGTTCTGCCAGCTCAGTGGATTGCTTTAACAAGGGCCTGGATTATTTCTAAGATACACAGAATATAACTGGATATTAACATTTATAGGTAAAGTTGATCCAGGGAATATCCGATTGCCTCTCAGGGGATCAGGAAGGAATTTTTTTCCCTGCAGGAGCAAATTGGATCATGCTTTGCTGGGTTTTTTGCCTTCCTCTGGATCAACTGTGGGTGTAGCTATAACTTTTTTTTTTTTTTTTAATGGTTGAACTGGATGGACTTTTGTCTTTTTTTCATCCAGACTATGTAGTCATATAGAAATATATAGTATAGCCCAGTTCATCTTTGTAGACCAGAGAACATCCCCCATGTATTATGAAGATGAGGAGAAGGTGTTCTTTAGTCCTAACACTTCCCGTCCTATGGTGACAACACTGCTCCTCCATTGGTACAGTACAGAGTGTTGTCACCCTAGGACAGGAAGTATGTTACTGTCAAATTCACCAAGCAAAAATAAAGGGGGGAAAAAATCATGAGAAAAAAAGAAAGCTAATGCCCACATGTTTAAATAGCAGTGTGCAGAGGATTGATTATTCATGAGGGAGACTAAAGCTAGCCATGCAGGGGATTACAATTGTACTTAAAACATTTTGTATATACTGAAGATCCTCCAAAGCACGGGGGAGGAATATTATAGCCAGCTGCAGTACTTTCCTGAAAGACACCCACTATAATAAAAATAACTTACTGATCAATAATCATGATATTGGTGCACCAGCTGAGCCATCCTGACATGTAGGTCAGCTGACCCAGCAAAGCAGGAAGAAGCCAATGCAATGATGTAATAAATGTATTGTGCCAAAGCAGCTTTATACAACTCAAATACTAAAAAGTTACAAGACCAGTTTATATAAAAGTCATTTGCTGCAAGATACTGTTAGTCTATGAATAACCCTGCCCATAATAATGTGTGGGACACTCTATACTGGGAATGGTAAAACCACACAGGGTGATCAGTGTGTTTCTCTCTCCAGTTATTGGGCTCATGATTATGTGACTATCAGCAATAAAACAATTGCAGTGCACCACCTTGCCAATGATACAAAACTCTTTCACCCAAGTAAGGGTGGGGAGAATGAGCCCCCCAACATAGTACTAAGATACCTATAGTGTAGTAGGTTAAAACCAATATGAATTTAATAAAACAACATAAAATGCACTCACAAGAGTATTTGTCAGTGGTATAGTGGTGTACTGTATACACATAGGCCAGTCTCTACGAGCAGCTTCCTCGCCTTAGTAGGAATTTCAGTTATAGGAGCTCCTGACCTATGTGTATACAGGGAATATTTTAGGGAATATATAGGGAATACTTTTGTGAGCGCATTTTATGGTTTAATCAATTTGCATTGGTTTTAACCTACTACACCAGTGGTCGGCAAGCCGCGGCTCGCGAGCCACATGCGGCTCTTTACACGCTTTAATGCGGCTCTTGTGTGCCGGGCGCCCACTCCCCTCCCTCCTCTCGGGCGGCAGGGACTCTGCAGCGTGATCCAAAAAAAAAACAACCAGGGCAGCGCGCTCAAATGCAATGATTGGCCAGTCTCGCTGCCACTCACATCCTGATAGCCAGTGATTGGCTGTCAGGATGTGTGTAGGCGGGGCAGCGTGACGAACGTGAGAGGAGCTAGGCTCCTCTCACAGTCCACCCTGAAGACCGGAACGGCGCGGGAACACGGCGAGAGGAACGCGCGGAGCAAAGGTAAGTGAATTGACACAGGGGGGACTTGGCTTACTACTTGCTACTTACTTACTACTACTATATAAGGGATGAATTAATATGGGGGATGAATTACTATAGGGGGGATGAATTACTATGGGGGATGAATTACTATATGGGGGGATGAATTACTATATGGGGGGATGAATTACTATATGGGGGGATGAATTACTATATGGGGGGATGAATTACTATAGGGAGGATGAATTACTATAGGGGGGATGAATTACTATATGGGGGATGAATTACTATATGGGGGGATGAATTACTATATGGGGGATGAATTACTATAGGGGGGATGAATTACTATATGGTGAATGAATTACTATATGGTGAATGAATTACTATGGGGGATGAATTACTATGGGGGATGAATTACTATATGGGGGATGAATTACTATATGGGGGATGAATTACTATGGGGGATGAATTACTATATGGGGGATGAATTACTATATGGGGGATGAATTACTATATGGGGGATGAATTACTATGGGGGATGAATTACTATAAAAACTTATTGAAACTAAAAACAGTGTACCATCCTATGTATTTTCAGTTTTAAAAATGTGGCTCTCAAAATAAATTTCAATCGTGGTTTTGGCGAGATTTGGCTCAGTTGAAAAAAAAGGTTGCCCACCACTGTACTACACCATAGGCATCTCTACGCAGTTATCTCTGATTATGCGACTTATGACTTATGAAGCACTTACTAAGCTCTTGTGCCCACTTTATTGCAGTTCCTGTATCGGAGGCATTGCCCTCTGCCAAACACACCAGTTCATTGCCAATCTTCCAACCAACCAGGGGATACAGTCCTGTCAGATAGGAAACCGATAAATAATTTACAAAGGTTTCTTTACCATCCTTTGTAATCCTGTAACTCCAGTCTGGCATACAGCCGTTAAGAAAAGCCATTTTTTAAAACTTTCATTTATTATATATTTTTTTTTTTTTTTTTTTTTTTAGTACGACATAACCAATGTAGGTACAGTGTCAAGATAGCACAGACTAGGCATGACAACAGAAAGCACTTAATCAGCAGAACAACAAATCTGTCCCAACCCAGGACAGGAGGAGGTAGTGTGAGGGCCAAACAGATCTATTAGGCTTTGTTCACACTAGTCCATTGTGGGAACATGTGCAAAAATCGCTGTTTTTCTGTAATGGACAAAAATGTGCAGCATGTATGCAGACACGCAGCAATGCCATTATTTTTTTTATTAGCACCCACCATGCATCTAGCAAACAAACACACACACCAAAATAAATTGTGCTGCAGTACCATGTATTGTAATTTTAAAAATGGTGCAGGCACCTTTTTGCGCATGCAAAAAAAAAAAAAAAAAAAAAAAAAAAGTGTGCACTCAATGGGACCTCTGTGGTGTGAATGGAGCCTAAAATAACAGAGGCTTCTGTACCAGACTGGGTAATGCAGCCTAGGACACCACCCGATAGTATTTAGGATTGGAAAAAGTGATGTACACAGCTCGGTAAAAAATGGAAATAGGGGGGAAAATAGGGGGAGGGGGACAGAAGAGGAAGAGGAGAGAGAGCTGGGATGGGGGAAAAGGAAGAGGGACAGGTGACAGAGAGACCTGGGGCCTGCCAAAATTTCAATCTTCTAGGGAAAAGCATCAGTCTGTATAGTTGCGGCTATTTCATAAAACATGTCCTGAAAAATCCAGTGCAGAAAAAAAAACCAAAACAATATACATTGTTACCACCTACCTGCTATAGAGGTGTGCAGATTGATCCCTGTGTTGATTGCCATAAATGTTCCTGTTCCCATTGTTAGCTTCATGTCTCCCACATCAAAGCAACACTGGCCAAACATGGCAGCTTGCTGGTCGGCCACCTGTCAGGATAAAAGATGCAAAAGCTATGACATATGGGTGTATCATCCATTTCTGACAAATCAGTAACATCTGAATAAACCAGAATGTTGTTCAGTTTAAGAACTAGTCCTAACCACTCACCAGTGCCCGAATGGGGATTGGCGTTCCAAATATGCTGGGATTTACCACTCCAAAGCTGTGGCTGCAGACACAGAATATAAAGTCAATTACCATGGGAAAGACTTGCTGCAGGATCACTGCATGAGGGTAAAGAAGTGAAATATGTCTGACATTACCTGGTGTCCTCAACAGGAGGAAATATAGAGAAGGGGATGGACAGTAAAGAGCAGAGAAAAGAGCTCCAGCTCATCTGTAACAGAAAAGGAGGCAAAGCATTGAAAAATGTCCTTTTCCTTCTCTTTTTTTTTTTTTTTTAACTACAGGGGATAGAACAAGCAATACAGTGGGGTTGATTTACTAAAACTGGATAGTGCAAAATCTGGTGCAGCTCTGTGTGGTAGTCAATTAGCTTCTCACTTCAGCTTGTTCAATTAAGCTTTGAAAAAACAAAACAAAAAACCCAAAAAACTGGAAGCTGACTGGTTTCTATGCAAAGCACTCTAGTTTTAGTAAATCAACCCCAAAAGTCTCAATAATAATCTGCCAGGAAATTCTCTCTCATCCTATATTGTCATGTATCAGTGATCCCAATGTGGAAGTGACTGTACTGTGACAACATGACCTGGAACAAACAAAAAAATAAAATAAAAGGGAGAAACAATGGGCATTCTGAAAATGCATGATTCAGCTTCAACTTTGGGGACTTATTTATAAAAATAATGGACTGTCAAATAATGATCATTTTATATATACACGAGTTGAGACAAGACATTGGACTGGTGGCACTAGCTAACCTCTCCATTAATAATAATAAGGCAACAAATAATCGTATGGATTGTCACATGGACCATGGATCATATAAATACCTCCTTATTGTCTGTGTAGCACTCTGTGCAACTTTTTGCACAGCTTCTTCTATGGTGTAAATTTACTCTGTCCTCTAGGTCTTGCACTGTATCAGGTACAAATTAAAGCGGCACTTGAGACATGGTAACAGGTTTAATTGATATGGGATAAAAGGTTACATATCCACCTCCATGATCAATTGTTTCAGTCGTGTGGGCCTCGATCATAGCCATGATATCTATGATTAAGGCCCACACAGGGCTGAAACGTATGAGCGTGGATATGTAACCTTTTATCCTGCACCAAATACAGCTGACAGGAGCCTGCTTTGCACCGCACACCTACACAAAACTTTTGGCTGCATGGGTTGAGTGGCAGAGTTGTGTTAGGTACCTATGGGTTACTTGAAATATGAAGCGTTTTATAGGCGGGGGGTGTTATGTAACAAAGCTTAGAGCCACAGGCCTGGTTTGCAGTACAATACTTCAGGGTTCTGTAACTTCAGGCCAAAATACATGGCTTACGATCCCTCGTGTGCTCAGAAAGACTTGTGTCCATCCTTTGCCCAAGAAACACATAGAAAATATCCTTCTGTTCACTGCTGGCCCAATGCAAATAAGAATTGAATGAACCAGCAAAATTAATTTTTTACAGTATGACAGCTCTTTTCCAAGAGCAAAATATATTATAATATATATACACACACACACAGTATATTGTGACAGTACTAGGCCCAGCCACTGTGCGAGTATAGGGAAAAGCAACACAGGGTTCAGAATAATGCAGAGTGTGGGGCTCCTGAGTATTGTGTCTGAGCAAAGAAGACTGGGGTCGTTTTTTTTGTAACTCTTGGATTGAGGTCTGGAGAGAGATTTTGGTGGAAAGAACATATCTTGAGAACGCCAGGACGACAAAATGCTGCGTCGAGGCGTGCCTGGAAGTGACGTCTTTCCACACAGTACTCCCAGAATCCGGGAAGGAGAAGGAAGGGACCGCTCGAAATGCAAACTATGAGTACTGCTAATTACCTATGCACGTACAACTCAATGTGAGGCAAATCACCTTTTATTGTGAGTGGATTTGTGTGGTTTTTTTTAAAAAAATAAAGCAATTTTAAGGTTTTACACTATGGCGTCTTCCTTTATTCCCTTCCCTACGTGGCATAAGTTGATGTGGCAGGAACACAAGTAAAAGGAGAGTAAGGGTTTGACCCTGGGGGAAAGTGCATGGTGCCAAAAAAAACCTGTATGCCTATAGTGAGTGGTCATATATATCTGGTAAGTTTTCTGTGTTGATGGTGGAGGATCACTGGAGCACAATACCAAAATTACACTGATTTTTTGTTTGAGGAATATACATAGAGACACCTGCATGAAATTAACCGTATGGACACTTTATTGAAGCCATGGAATCAGAATCTGTGCAAAATAGTGGCATCTGATCACTTTTAACATTTGTTGTATAGGTTGAGAAATTTTTTGAATATTGCATGTAGTGCTGTATAAAATGTAGTATCGAGTGCTTGTATGGCACGTTAGGTACAGCTGCTTGGTTTTTTTCATTTTCCTTTTTTTTTTGTAATCCCAGTGCTGGTGTAAAATATTAAGATTTGGTGGGAAGAAGTCTCTGATACTGTGTTCATGTTTGACCTGGAAACCTGCAGGGTGTGTGAGTGCAGTTGTGCACACTCATTATATGCAAGGCCTTCCCAAAGCGCACTGCTCCAGTGAGGAGACAAGTGTACTCCCATTAGGAAAGGTGATCCACTAGAGAGACTGCACTCCATATTGCAGAGATCCCTTACCCACTGAACAGAGAGTTGGGACAATTGAGTCTGGAGGGCTGGGAGAGTTGAGGCAACTAGGCGAGTCCAGGGGACTGAGGGAATCTGTAAGTTTTGGAGGAGTAAGAGTCCGGGGTGCCAGGAGATCCCCTACTGAGAGGCCAGGAAGTGGACCGATGTAGCTGGGTGCTGCAACTAAAAGAGGGAGCCAGGAGAGCACTGAGGGTCAGGAGAGCTGGGTCTGAAGGATCTTGAAAAGAGCAGCAGAGTTGCTGAAGAGTGAGCCAGGTGGCTTAGTATTTTTGTTATTTGTTTCTTTCATTATTTGGTGCTTTGTACAAGATTAACAGTGCATTTTTTTTTATCAGAGCAGCTTTGAATAGACAGGTAACCCTGTGAATAGGAGCTTTGAACGCCACCTGTTTGCTGGATATTTAAACATAAACCACTCAGAAGCAATAAATCACATATTTATCCAACTCACATAACAAACCTGAAAAACAACAAAGTAACAAGATCTTTGAAAAAAATTAAAATTAAAAAAAAAATTATATATTTTTCCACTTCAGTTCAGACCTACAAAAAATATAAATAACAGCAAAACAGACATTCCCTGTTCGGTGTGGTCAACCAATGATAAATGTCCGGTCTGATCTGTACGGAGTTAAATCCCAACCCTTCCTTCCTAGATGCCATGTTTTTCACAGCTTGCACTAGTGAAGGAGAACTGTGCAATTTGAAATAAACAGCTCTAAAGAATTACTTGTGCAATAAATCAGTCGAACACATGTGCATAAATGAGTGATTTGCATGTCTCTGTTCATCCTCTATACAATACCAATGCCTCTATCTGCATTGGCTTGTTATGGATATTTTACCCCTAGAAGCGCTCCCCCCCCTCTTTCTGGTCAGCAATAAACTCTGACTATCCTGACAGACGCTTCACAGTCCAGGACCTATGATCACTGCTGCAAATTGGGATCACTGGCAGTGAGATTCTTGGGGATTAATGTGAAAAAAGTAGACCAAGAAGTAGTCAGGTCTCTTAAGAGAATGGAAAGTAGGTTTTACCTATGGATCACAAGCAGTTCCTGCACTGTAGCAACAGTGCTAAATTCATGGCCACACTTGACAATTAATCTGTAAGTCACAGTCGGTCAAGTTAAAAAGGTGAGACATGGCTCCTAGTCTGGAGCTTTAAAGTGGCTGTAAACCCTTACATACACCCAGTAAAGTGACTGGCCTCAGGTGATACACAGAGATGACACAAATCATCATACATAAGTTGTACCAGTTTATCTGCAGTATTCTCTTCTCTATAGCTGTTCAAAGTACAGAATTTATAAAGCTTGTTTTAGCTGCCAGAAAAAAGGGAGTGAAGGACTGAAGTTACATTCTGCAGAGCTCAGTGAGACCTCTGAGAGCTGATTGGATGGAAGAGACACCCCCCCCCCCCCCCCCACACACACAGGAAGAGAGCTAAGAATGTCAATCTGCAGGAGGTTCCTCTCCTGTCACCATTTTTCTCTTGGTGTCAGGAACAGTTGTCAGAAGTGACTCATACAGACAGATGAGGAACAAAGTACACACTATAGAGAGATATGCTTTGTTCATATTTCATGTGTGAGGTTTATAACTACTGTAATAAAACATGCTAAGGGTTTTGAAAAGTTTGTTGATGGCAATGAATGAAGGCTTTTTAATGACAGACACACTGCCAGGTGCCTACACATTAACTTCACTTTCTATTTATGTCACCCTGGTGCCCTGAATCTGAGGGCATCTTGGCTTACGAATATCAGGCAAGATTCCTGGGTTGGGAGAGATGTCCCTTCTTACTCCTTATCCCTCACTATTGGCTATCCAATTCTTGGTATGTGTTATCAGTAAAACTTAGAGTGCAGAAAGGGTGGGACTAGCCTCTACAACAGAAAAGTTAGGTTGATATCTGTATGGCAAGACACCACTGCAGAAATAGGAAAAAGGTGGAGGTAACAGAGCTGGACTTCCTTGTAAAATAAACCGTTGTAATGCACCAATGACTAAGCCTTGGTTCACACTAAGAACCACATATGAACTGCACAGGAACCAAAATGCATTTCTGTGCAATTTACATGCAAATTCAGTGTTCAGCAATTGTTCTGAACAGGCTACAATTACACCGCATCACAACAAACTCATGTGTGCACCAATTATGGAAGTGCACTGCAACTGGATCACATGTTCTTTTTGTACAATGCGATCCGGTGCAGGCAAAACGCACTGAGTTTGCAACCTGCGCCTGGAGTGTTGTTATGATTGTACCAATACCCACTGCAGACCGCAAGGGCAGTGCAATTTGAACACAGTGCAGGAAGTGAGCATGGATCACTGGTTTCCTGCACCACATTCTAGTGTGAACCTAGGCTATATTGCAACTTCAGGAGCAGAAAAAGAAGCATTTTTTTCTTATTCTTATACTCATATTTAGGGACTTTCTTGTGAGAGTTATTTTTTTAAGTAGAATTTAAGAACATTTGAATCTTTAGCCCTACTCTAAGCATCCTTCCTTTATATAAAAAAGGCCTAAATGAGAAAGCATGTTGTTCCCCCAACTTTAGTTTGATGTGTAGCACCACCATAACCTGTGCTGTGTCCAAGTATAGCCCACAATATAAATTTCCATGAGTACTATCCTCCTGCCCTTCAACAACACTGCAATATTTGTATTAGCCATCACTGCTGGGCTGGCAAGTATTCTCTCCCAGAGGGCCAGTGTATGTAGAAAGCCTAAACTCTGCTATTGATCTCCTACAGCAAACAAAAGAATGATAAGTGGAACCTGTCCCACATTATGGGTAAATACAGACAGCTGTACGGGCAAAATGGGCACTGCTTGAAGTTACTTACCAAGTAAGGGTCAAATATTGCGGTCCCACTGGCATTAGAATAGTCTGTTGCATGTACAGATC